GGTATTGTGGCTGTTCAGACCAAGAAAGGTACAAAATATATTCATGATGTTCTCTTTATACCTTCCTTGAGTCAAAATCTGTTAAGTGTTGCACAGATGCTTAGGAAAGGTTATTCAGTTTCATTTGCCAACAGTGCATGTTATATCTATGATTCTTGTGGTGTCGAACTTGCTAGAATCAAGATGGTAGAGAATAGTTTTCCTATTACGTGGAATTCTCCTTGCTTGCATGCTGTTTATGTATCAAAATCTGATGAAATTTCTTTATGGCACAAGAGATATGGTCACTTCAATTTGAAGTCTCTTAAGTTCCTTCAAACCAATGAACTTGTTAGAGACTTACCAGAAATTCATGTGCATGATGATGTATGTTCAAGCTGTCAATTTGGGAAGCTGCATGGACAAGTTTTTCCGATCAACAATTCATGGAGAGCAAGCCATAAACTTGAGCTAGTTCATACAGATGTTTGTGGTCCAATGAAGGTTGCTTCGCTTGGTCAGAATCTCTATTTCATTCTTTTTATTGATGATTACACTAGAATGACGTGGGTGTATTTTATGAGCAGCAAGGCACAAGTTTTCTCTGTGTTTAAAAAGTTCAAGGTACTTGTTGAGAACCAAAGTGGCTACAAAATCAAAACCTTGAGATCTGATAATGGAAAAGAATACACTTCAAAGGAGTTTGACAGCTTTTGTGAAGATGCAGGGATAGCACATCAATTAACTGTCCCTTATACTCCTCAACAAAATGGAGTTTCTGAGAGGAAGAACAGAACAATTATGGAGATGGCTCGATGTGTGTTGCATGAAAAGAAGCTGCCTAAGAATTTTTGGGCAGAGGTTGTTTATACAGCTATATATTTGTTGAATGGTTTGCCTACTAAGGCTGTGCAAGGAAAGACACCTATTGAGGCCTGGTTTGGTGTTAAGCCTTCTGCACATCATTTGAAAATTTTTGGCTCTATTTGCTATACTCATGTGCCTGATGCAAAGAGAACCAAGCTTGATGTTAAAGCTGAAATTGGTATTCTGGTGGGTTACTCTACAAAATCAAAAGGCTACAGGGAATACGACTTGCAATCTGGAAAAATTTCAGTTCACAGGGATGTACAAGTTGATGAAGATTCTCATTGGGATTGGGACAAGAGAGTTGTTGTGAAAAATGGTGATATAGCATTTGTCAAGGATGATGTAGAAGCTTCCAAAGAGGAAATTTTAGCTTCTAATGTAGCTGATGTTGATGCTCACCATGATTCCCCTGTTATGAAAACTAAATCCTTGTCTGAAATTTATGAAAGATGCAACCTAGCTGTTTTAGAACCCAACACGTATGCAGAAGCTTCCAAGCATGACATATGGAGGCATGCAATGCAGGAGGAGATGCAGATGATTACAAAAAATGAAACTTGGGAATTAACTTCCCTACCACCGGAAAAGAATGCAATTGGAGTCAAATGGGTGTTTAGAACCAAGATGAATCCTGATGGCTCCATTCATAAGCACAAAGCTAGATTGGTAGTGAAAGGATATGCTCA